TCCTCCTCTGGCGGCAAGCTGCTCCTTGTCCGCATCCATGGTAGGTTCTTGGTTTCATTGAGAGCTTCAATGCTCAAGCTTGCTGTTGGTACATTTGAAGTGTGTTAGCTGCTCTTGTAGTATCATGTATCGATATCATTTCTTTTTCTGTTTTGTTGTTTGTATGTTGGGTCGATGCTTTATCTATTAAGCAGGGCGAAAGCCTTTTTGGATAAAAAGTACTAAAAATTTTGATCACCAACCTTTACTAATGCTTTTTGGTGAAGCTTCGGCTCAGGATTGTAGCGCCCTTCAGTGCTTAGATTTGAGGCAAGATGACTCAAAGAAGCGAGCTTCAGAGATATTGTTGAAGAAGCTTGTGACGTATCTGCCCCCAAGCCCAAAGATTAAGCATGGTAGGCCGTTACTCCCTCTATCCATATATATAGGGTCTAATGCATTTTTCGAGGCTAACTTTGACTAAATGATAGAGCAATAATATATGACATGCAAGTTACACAAAGCATACCGTTAAATTTGTATGTGAAAAGAGCTTCCAATGATATCATTTTCACATTATACATCTCATATACTATTAATCTTATCAATAGTCAAAGACAGTCTCGAAAAACGCATTAGGCCCTATATAGATGGATGGAGGGAGTAGCTTTGATCCACTCTAGGTTGCATAGCTGGAAATGAAACACTTTGAAGAGAACAAAAAATATCCTAAGAAAGGCTCAAAAGGAGTTAGAGGAGGTTACAAGAGGTGAGCTGGCAGCGGAGGTTAATAAAAAAACACAAAGGTCTTGCTAGTGAAATTGAGAAGCTCCTGGAACCTGAAGATATCCACTAGCCAAAGCGCGGAGCAATTGATTGGTTGAAGTATGGGTATAGTAACACTTCCTATTTCCAGAATTTTGCTTCTGACCTCCATAAAAAGAACCACATTGACCGGTTGAAAGATGGCCAAGGTTCTTGGAAGGAAGGTACAACCTATTTGCATCCTCTTATTAATGATTACTTTGCTAACCTTTAGAAATTCGTGAATGGGACATCACCCTCATTGAAATGGTTGTCCATCGGATCTCTTTGGAAATGAATGAGGCCCTCTTGAAGCCATATATAACAGAAGATGTAGAGAACACATTGTTTTCCATTGGGCTTTTGAAATCCCCGGGTACATATGGTCTACATGTTGTTTCCTTTAGGACATGTTGGCATTGTGATGCCTTGACAAGCAAAGTGCTAGAGGCAATAAAGAATAAATAAATCCCAAAGGGTGGAATGACATAGTAATTGTTCATATTCCAAAGATTGATAACCTGAATAGAATTTCCCAATGCGTTTATCTAATGTTTTATACAAAGTGATTTCCAAGATGATGCGCTCCGCCTAAAAGGTACCCTAAATGAGGTAATATCATTTGTCCAAAGTGCTTTTGTTCCCATAAGGTTAACCACGGACAATATTCTGTTAGCATACGAAAGTATGCACATGATAAATAATGATAAGAAAGATTTCAGGTACTATCTAGTAAAATTGGATATGCACAAGGCTTATGATTGTGCTGAGTGGATTTTCTTGGAAAGAATGATGCAAAGATTGGGTTTTGATAATAAATTTGTGCATTTGAGAATGGTTTGTGTGAGAACAGTCAATTACAAAGTAAGATATAATGACAAACAAACGAATTCTTTTGTCCCTCCTAGGGGAATCCTTCAGGGAGACCCTTTATCACCATATTTATTATTGATTTGTGTGAAAGGTTAATCGAGTGTTCTGGCTCAAAAAGAGGAGGTTTGAGGCATCGAAGGTATTCGAGTGTGCAGAAATGCACCATCAATCTCTCATTAACTATTTGCTGATGACTCCCTATACTTTTGAAGGCGGATTTGACTAATGCAACCTCATTGAGATGGGCTCTTGATCACTATTATGAGAGATCAGGACAAATGGTGAGTGAAGCAAAGGGTAGTATCTTTTTCAACTCCAATGTGGATGGTGTTGTCAAAGCTCAAGTGTGTGTTGAACTAAATATTATGACTAAGGCTCTTTAAGATAAGTACATTGGTCTTTCATCTATCATGGAACTTGATAGGACTACAAGCTTTGTCGGTTTGCTATAGAGAATTATTCGGCTTATTAAGGGTTGGAAGGAGAAACTTATGTTGATGAGAGCAAAGGAAATCCTATTCAAATATGTCATCCCGTCCATTTCTATTTTTGCTATGTCTCTTTTCAAGATACCAAAAAAGCTTTTAGCGAGATGATGATGTCATGGTAGGATTTTGGTGGAGTGGTTCAAAGGACCAAAGAAAAATGCGTTGGGCTAAGTGGTGGATATTACGTATCCCAGAGAAAATGTGTGGAATGGGATTCCGTGATCTCCATGCTTTTAATCTTGTCAGGCTAGCAAAACAAAGTTGGAGATGAATCTAAAATCCTGAGACTTTGTGCGCTCATGTCCTTCGAGCAAAATGCTTTTTGGATGGGAACTTATTGAAAGAGGGAATAAAGAAAGGTTTTTCTTTCACTTGGCAGAGCATTGTGGTTGTTCACAAACGTTTTGAATGTACGTGCACATATTTGGAGAGTGGGCTCAGGAAATAACATAAAACATTTAGGATGATAATTGGATTCCCAAACAACCCTTCGAGAACTCACCCTAAATTGTCAAAGTTTTGCTCAGAACGATGGATGAATTGATTCCCCCATTAAGTGGCCGCTGGAATGAAGCTTTGATTAGAGACATATTTCATTCAACTGATGCTGAAAGGATTCTAAAAATTCATTGAATGAGCATGTATATGACAAATGATTCCATCACGTGGAACAAACACAAAATACTTCTCTTTCCTTGTTCGCTCGGCCTATTACCCTGAATGAGATCACCAATCCGGTAATAGAATGAGAAGGGAGAATGATCATGGCTCGGCAAAACCAAAACTAGTATGGGATATCTTATGGAAGCTAGATGTTCCCAGTAAAGTATTAACTTTTTGTGGAGGGCACGCCATGGAACAGTTCCTAGCATGACGATTCTAGTGGCGAGGCACATTCCGGTTATACTCAATGCCCAGTTTGTCATGCGGGGGCAAAAGATATTAGACACATGTCACATGCAATCGTGTGCATGAAGTATATACATCCCTTGGCATTTTTTATATAACTGAACAAGCGCTCACAGCTGACCAGTCGAGATCCATTGTCCCTGTGGAAATTCTGTGCAATCCTCTAAATAAATCTACTGTGCTTGGTCACATACGAGTTAAAGAATTAGTTTCAGTGGAAGCTTGGTACATATGGTGGCAAAGAAGTGAGATGGTTAATGGAGAAACAAAGGCCTCCCCGGCGAGGTTTGCATCTGCTATACAAGCTTTCTCATCAAATTACTCATCAGTTCGAATCATGAAATACTATGGTCAAAACTTCCCCAGGAATCCTATAAAACTGAACAACGATGCTGCTTATTTTGAAGATGGTATGGGTGCTACGAGTGTTGTATTATGCAATGATCACGTTGAGGCTATTGTAGGTGTCATTGTTCAGCTATTTCAAACTGCTAATGCAGCTTCTGCAGAGGCCTTTGCAATGGAAAATGGTCTTGCCCTCCTGGAACAGTTAGGGTGCTCCCCAGTTATCATCGAATCCGACTCTTTGGATATTATTCAGCTATGCAAAGGTGATATGGAAGTCCTAACTATAGATGAGTTTTTGTGAGAGCTCAGATAATTGGAACAGTCTCATTCCTACATTGTTCAAGGAGTGCTAATAAGGTGGCTCATTCTACCGCAAGGCATGCTTATGATTCAAAGTGTAGTCTATTTTTGGGACGGTGATCCACTCATGTTTGTCACGCCTCTTGTAATAACCAATGTAACGATATTGCAATAAACGAGCCACAAGACATTCTTTTCAAAAGAAAAAAGACTATGATTTGTATATTCTTTTGAGTGGCCAACTACATTTTGTAAGCTCTCACACACAAAAAAACTATTACCTCCATTCATTAATATAAGATGTTGGGGCGGTTTAATTTTAGGACCCTAATAAGTGTCACATGTGTGGCACGAACACATGACAACTCCGAAAGTTTTTTATGACAAATTTAGTGACACGAGAATGTCAACTCTAATTGTCAAGCATGGCAAATTTATTTTTCGGATGGCAAGTTTTAGTTTTTCGGGTTTGTTTTTTCTTTGTGGATGACAACTTTAATTGTTAAAAACATCAGAGGCAGAGTGCTTCATGCCACACGTGTGACACTTATCAATTGGGTAATTTTAAACTAATCCAACATCTTATATTAAGAAATGGAGGTAGTACAGGATGTATTTGGTTGCAACCCCGGAGAACAATTGCATGGCCTGAGACCTGCCTGAGATGTGCCTACATATTGTTTGGTTAGAGGCTTGGAATTTGGGATACCTCCCTGGCCTAGAACTGATAGCCTGGCTTGGGCCGATGAATTCGGACGCCTGGCTTCCAGGCTAATGCCACTCGGGACTAATTAGTGCACCTGCATGTGATTATTTATGGTTTGCATGCTAACTGCCGGTCAACTCAACCTGACATGCTGATTTCTTATTGTGTATACTATGTGTGCCAGGCAAGGCGTTCAACCAAACAGCAGATACACAGGCAAGCCAGACATATTTTCCCATTTCTCCAGGCTACCAGGCATCTTTTTGCCTGGCATGAAGCCTAGGGCATCAACCAAACAGACCCACAATTTGTAAGCTCTTGTGAAAAAACTCATCCCCGTAGTTTCATGTAGGCCATTCTGGCCCATCTGGGTCGTAGCCAGCCCATTACTAACCTTCTCTAGCCATCTCATGTAGACCATTCTGGCCCATCTGGTGTCTTAGCCAGCCCATTTATTAGCCTTCCTTCTCTAACCTTTTCCCCAAGTCTTTCTCAAAAAAAAAAAACCTTTTCCCCAAGTCCCCAAGGAGAGAAACGAGAAAGGCTCACCGTGGAACCGATCGAATCGCAGCGAAGCAGCGGCGGCGGCGGCGATGGGGATCGGCGAGCACTTTGAGGGCGTGAAGCAGCACTGGGCGCGCAACTTCGCCTTCCTCGACTACTTCAAGAAGGTCTACGGCCGCGACCAGCCCCTCCCCAAGTGGTCCGACGCCGACGTCGAAGAGTTCATCGCCTCCGACCCCGTCTACGGCCCGCAGGTATCTCCCAACCCTACCCTGCACCCTCTCCGCAACCCGATCCCGATCCCTCTCTTCCTCCCCTTTCTAAATTACGGAGATCCGTTTCCAGCTCAAGGCCCTGAGGGAGTCCAGGAAGTTCGCGCTCGGCGGGGCCCTGGCCGGCGCCGCGCACCTCGGCGGCGTTGCCTTCAAGTACTCCAAGAGCCCGCACGGTACGAAAATCTCTCGATCGATCTTGATTCTTGGCCTGCCTACGTCGTCGTTGCTGCTGTGGCTGATCGAGATGCGGCGGGGAATTGATCCGTGTCTGACTGCCTTGCCTGCAGGTGTCGTGCTGGCGACCGGGTTCGGAGCGCTCACTGGCGCCGTGCTCGGGTCGGAGGTGGCCGAGCACTGGTACGAGCTCTACAAGATGGACAAGCAGGGGGCCAACCTCAGGTTCATCTACTGGTGGGAGGACAAGGTCTCAGGTGTGTTGCTTTCTTCTGGCTTCATTCCACATACTACTTCCTTCTGTTTATCCTCATTGTGTGATTCAATTCCAAAAGGCAGCATGTTGCATGTTAATACATGTATGCCATGCCACTTTGTAAGAGAACATTATGATAGTGATTCCATCGGTTCCTGGTCAGAAGTTTTGACTGGGAGGTCTTGATGTTATGCCACTTGAGTGAATTTGGATTTTGGGCTGTGATTATGTGGTATTGATGATATGCCGTTTGAGTGAATTGTGTTTTCGGACTGCAATTATATGGTGTTGGTGAAGTGTTGTCTGAGTGAACTAGGAACGCTAGAAGGGTATGATGTGGTTGTATCAGTTTCAACATGATGATACTCATCAACTTGCACCTGATCATAGTCCAGTAAATGCATGACAGTGTTTCGTTTAGGTTGACATTTTTCTGTTTAGCTCTCACAAAACAATTATATTATATAAGAGTGAATCATGTAGTATGAATTGCCATGGTCAAGTGGCTGCGTACAGCTGCATGCCAATATCTCATTGAGCTTTGCGTATTTCTGTTTATTTTTCTTAGAACATTATATGATAGTGATTGGCATTGTGATTGTAATTGAGTGACAGTATGACACTGTTTCATTTAGTTTTGCATGTTTCTGTTTAGCTTTCTTAAAGCATTATATGATAGTGACTCTGGCAGTGTGATTGTTGAGTGACAGTATGACAATGTTCCATTTAGTTTTGTATGTTTCCGTTTAGCTCTACTAGAACATTATACTGATAGTATCTCCAGTAGTGTTGATGTGAAGGTCTTAGGGATTTATCATAAAGCTATTTATGTGAATTAGTAGTAGTAAGGTATAAGATGAAATATGATTGTTAATTTGATGATAGTACTTGCTAACGCACCATTGTTGATCAAATTGCCTGCATGAAAGTATTTTGTTTACTTCCGCTGCCAAACATTTCCAAGATTATTCTAAACTTGCTGCAAATCTTCTTCTGTGAGCAGGCCAGAAGAATTGAAGAAGACTTCTGCATAAGCTTATGCCTGTTTCAGCATACTGGTTTGACAAGACAATGATGTCTCCAGTTTGGGATTTCTAGTTTTTACTTCCTAGTCTTTTTCCAATAAGGTGCATATTGGCAATCAACTGGACAATGTATTTTATTTTCTCTACTATGGGTTTGCTCTTAGTTTCTCTACGATGTTCATGTTTGCACCTGTGGAAAACTAAATGCCAGTACTTTTCAGTCTATCAGTTCGCACATGATCTGTAAGTATTCAATGACCGTAAAAATAATATCGGGGATGCCTACTTTCTTCAAAACCATTTCCACTCAGGTTTCCAGTATGAATATGAGCGTAGGTCTTGAGGCCTGGAATTATGATCTGGGGTTCAGAGACTGGTCTCTCCTACTGCAAGTGATTATGATTCCAATTGCATAGGAGAATTCTGGAACCAGCTTTCCTGACTTGATAACTGCGTGTTTATTTGGGTCATTATTTTGATGCTATGTCATGTTGTAAGCGTCACTGCATTTATTGCCTGAGAAACTATGTTGTATCAGCATTTCATAGGTATCAACACTTCTGTAAGTAGGCACATTCACCTACCCCGAGTTTAATTAGACTGTGTTTTCTAACTCAGCTGCCGCTGGATCTATCCTTGGTACTTGGTTTTAAATATGCCTCGTCAAATTATCTGATACTAGTGATTTTCCAGCATGGTTTCTCATGCCTAATGCTAACAGTTTTTATTTGCATGTCACATTTGCTTAATGAACCAAGCTAATATCATGCATCAAATTCAAATAAACAATGTGCCCATGTAAAAACAAGTTACTCAAGGGATAATAAGTTTGCAACATCTCAACATTCGAAGCAACACACCAACAAAGGTCTTGATTATGTGAAATAGCAACATCAGAGCTCCTCAAGAGTTCTTTAGGTAATGTAAAAGCACAGTACAGTACACTACTTAAGGCCTTAAGGGCACTCCTGAGGGAATATGGCCTATATATAAATATTACAGAGTAGTACCAGAGCAAACCATACATAAAGCAAGCTTTGTTTAGTATTAACCACCATATTACACACTAATAATAGTCCCTCAGGGCGTTATTACCATCAGAAGGAATAGCCCATCTCTGAGCCCCTACAAGTAGAATAGCCACTCAGTATAGTCAGTGGGTTAGTGATCTCCTCTAACATTGGGACTGTACTAAAATGCCCATTCTGCTGATCTGCTATAGTCATGCCTACGTCGATCAGTCCATGCTGTTCTACTATCTGCAACCAGGAACACATTTTTTGGTATCAGCAACCATGCTTGCACGGCGGTCTACAACACAAAATTCTAGTTTGCAGTTCCATGTGTCAATATACGTACAATTGGTACCTTTTCCTGGAGAATTTCGTTGGCAGCTTTCAACATGCCCTCCTGCATATAAAGAATCTAACTCTACTTTCAGCAAATTGTCAATGATATTTGGGTATTTATAGATTTGAACTGTTATTAATTGACTTGCCTTGCTCTTCAGTGCCTGGATCTCTTGAATCATTATCTGCATCTGTTAGATAAGAAAGTTTTAGTGGTGCCCAAAAGAGTTTCTCTTTCAATAATTTATAGGCTTTGTGTTGAATTACCTTTGCGGAGCGGATGTTGAACATCCACATCTCCAAGTACCTCTCCAGGGCATTCAGCTCGTCAACATTCATGTGCTCATTTGCCCTGTTTCCATAGATGTACCTGCCATGGTTTTCATTTTGCCAAGATTAAGTCTCAGAGTTCATCGAAGTATAGCTAGAAGACTTTGATGTTCACGTCACAGCCTTTTCCTTTCAATCAATAGTTTTGTTTGGTTGGTGGAGGGAGTTCAACTAAATGTAAGAGCAAAAGCAGGTTTCTAAGTTTGTGCTACTTACAAACAAGTTTGTGTTGCTTTGAGATGTTTTTGTGCAAGTAAACAAAATATTTCAGGGTTACCAGGGTGCAGTGGCGGACTTAGTGAGGGCCAAAGGGGGCCATGCCCCCCACCCCCCACCCCCAAAAAGAATCAAATTTATTTCTTTCCAAACATAAGTGACTTAACTCTATACTAATTTTGTACTCCCTCCGTCCCAATATAAATGACTCAACTTTGTAGTACTAGTTAGTACATAGTCAGTTATTTTGGGAGTAATATTTAAAACTATTTGAGCCAAATTTAACGTAACACACTAGATTAGCCCTTTCAACTCTATTTAAGACTCATTTAGTCCCGTCTCAAATCGCGTTGAAGGTCCGCCACTACCAGGGCAGCTTTGAATATTAAACTATTTTTTTGCGGGGAAATAATAAACTATATTTGTGCTTATGAAATAAACTAGACATGCTGGAAACGTGTATCACTTCATCTCCATTTGTGAGCTAATGTAATCTTTACTTGGGCATAAATAATGTGACTTGTAGAAGCAAAGCGAAATGAGTAAGCAGGATGGAGTACCTCAGTCCCTTCTGCAAAAGGTCTATTTCTTGTTTCAGCACCATTGCCTCCTGCTTTGGGTCCTAGTGACAAACATGGTCAAGTTTTAGAATTTCACCAAGTTTTAGAACTGACATGCCCACTTAAAAGTCTCATGTGTGACTTAGACTTGTACATGAAGAGGAGAGGACATGTGAAGAAGCTTAATTACCACTCTCTGGTCGCCGCAGCCGTCGGCGGCCATGCCTTCTCCACTGGCACTCTTGTACCTCTCGATCAGCCCATCCATGGTTCTGCTCAAGACCAAGACAAAAAGAGATGAATGAGCTCGAGGTTGAAGGAGCAAATCAAGAGAGCCGAGAGGAAGTGCATGCACATCCTAGTCATACCCGGTGGTGGCGAGGTCGTAGAGCTTGCCGTGCGCAGAGAAGATGATGATACCGATGTCGGCATCGCAGAGGACTGAGAGCTCCCTGGCCTTCTTGAGGAGCCCCGCGCGGCGCTTGCAGAAGGTGACCTGCCGGTGGACAGGGTTCTCGATGCGCCGGAGCTGGACCTTGCCTCTCGCCATGGATGATGATGGATGGGTGGATGGATGGATTGGTAAGGGATACAGACAGACAGAGACGAAGATGATGATAGATTGCACACAACCTTCCACTAGTTTGGACTAGCTTCGAGGTTGCTGCGGTTGCACCCTTGCAGCTCTCTCTATGTGAGACTACTGTCCTGCTTAAACCACAGGTGAGGATAGAGATGTCGTTTTTATAGTGGGAGCAGGAACCAATTCCCTCCCCCCTCCCCTGGCATCCCACACAATAATAATACTTGCCTCTCTAGGCCTACATCGTCCCCTACCAATCAGTGCTTGAGGCATTTGGGCGGTCAAGCTAACAGATGGGAGGGAAGAAAGTTGGTGTGGCACCTTGGAATCCATGTGTGGCGATGCACACATGTTGTACTCCACCCTTTATTACACTTGGCTTCTATTGAGTTCTTGAAGATGAGACATGTGGCGGTTCATGGAACGGTCATCGATCGTGACCGTCAATCGACATGACTGCCGGTTAGGATGAGCTTTCTGAAGTCAACCTGGCTGGGCACAAGAACAACAACAAAATAGGCACCAGCTAGTGAAATTTCAGATCAAAACAACAAAAAACAGGTGTTAAATAGTACTACCTCCGATCCACAATAAGTGTCGTAGTTTTGAACTAACCCCAGTTCAAAACGGCTACACTTATTTTGGATCGGAGGAAGTAGTAAATTTGGTCTGTGGGCTTAAGTATGATGAACTAAGGAAATAGACGAAGAAAAAGCATTGTAAAGAGATCAGATAAGTGCTAGATGTATTGTCATTTTTTCTGTTTTTTTAGAACAATTTGCTGACCTTCTTTGCCGCAACATTAGGTGGCTAATGTCTGTCTATGAATTCCTCCTCTGTTTGCTTTACGACTATATGTCTTGTTATAAAGATAGCTAGCTTTGCTAGCTTAATCAAAACAGGATGCTCATTTGGTGTCATGTCAATAACCCCTCTTTTCCATCTCTTTTGTTGGACAAAGCATCTGTACCCAACAATTTGCAGTTTTAAACACCTCACTTGATAGTGCTGCAAAAAATTCTTCATCCCTATCACCCTCTTAATATTTTCTTTTTGGCACACACAAAGCAAGGCTAAGCAAACACAGGGTAACTTGAGGACACATGAAAGTTGCTCTTTTTTCTTCCGAATGAGAATATATAGTACCTTGTTGGTGAAAACGATGTTTCCTCGTTAAAAATACACCCTGGCATAAACATAGAGTAATTCTTTTGATCTCTACATTATGCGCTGAAAATAAAAAAATATGAGTGGTTCTAGAAACTAAATGTATCTTCCCCGGTTTTGAAGGTGTGCATGAATCTGAATTCTGGAGATTTGTGAACCTCAAGAACCCCATTGTCTCTTGTTTGATTCAGATTGCAAGATCTTTAATTGCCTGGATCGCATGTAATTTGTTCTTTGGTTTTCAAGAGCTCACCTTCATTCACATCAATGGTAGACAAACAAAGTGCTGGAGAGTCAATCCCTAAAGACTTTGCATAAAGGGTGTATGGAGATCAGAACAAGAAAAACTACTTCTCCCAGATGTCAGTCTGGATTCATCAGTGAAATGGAGGAGTCATGGGAGGCTGCCACCTGTTGAGACATCTCCTTGTGGGATGCTTCATAGTAGATGCTAGTGGTTTAGGGCATAAAGCTTCAACAGATTCCAATTAATTTGCCTTTCGATTAATGAAAGGGAAAAGGAGGGTGAGTGCTCATTGGACATTCCCAAGAGAAAGATTGCTGTCATGTCATCTCCTCCCAGCTGCATGCTTGGCCTATGACACCTGAGACCTTTTAGATGCTAGCTCTTTCCAGTGTTCTCTAATCCACCAGCATAACATGCTGCTACTGTAGTTAAAGATGTATACTAGTACCATACTCCTAGCTAGTCATGGATATGTTATTATTTGTGGGCCACTTTCTGTTCATGGTTCTTTGGCCTTATTAGGTGGCTGCTGTAAGCCCAATTTTAAAATTACTCTATGTTGAGATAGCAATCTTGCCTATCATGGCCCTGTCTCTACAGATATACATAACTAACTAGTGTCATCAACAACAAGATTGTTTCAAGGAATATATTTGAAACTATACCAAAGTAAAGCGCATTTTGTCACAAATACGCAACGAGTTCAGCAATCTTAAATAATCAGGGAATATTAGCATTGGCTCTTGAAAAGTATAGCCCTCTCTTAAATCATCCAAATATTAAAATGAGTCTCATGGTAATGAACAACTTGGAGAATCAAGAATGAAGCCCGCCAATCATATTAGGTAACATCATCAGATTAAAAGCAGGCTGCAAATAATACTGCTTATATCCCCAAAGTTAAGCTCATGGCTTCACGGCTACAGATTGCTGTTATATTTCTACCTAGGGTGAAAAAGTTACCTTTATCAGATATTATATTTATGTCTTAAACTATACAAGCGCATTAGCCCTCATTTCATAACCAAGGTGCGCAGCAGCTGCGCGAAGCAATCCATGATCGAATTCCTCCAAGATTCTTGTAGTTAGGGCTCTAGTTTAATGAAGCATCTTATTGAGCAATATCACACAAGAACTAGGCCACTTTTACTCCTTTCATATTTTGGCTCATGATATCTGGTCGGTTTAATCCGCTAACCGGCAATGGACAGAGAAGCTTGTCCACATCGTCTAAGATGGTTTGAGCATATACATCACAGGCCTACAGAAGCGCCAGTGCATAGCGAACGATTAAGGCGTGCTAATAATATCAAGAGAGGGCGGGGTAGACCAAACTTGACAAGGAAGGAGTCCGTAAAGAGAGATCTCAAGGACTAGAATATCATCAAAAGATCTAGCCATAGATAGGGGTGCATGGAAGTTAAACTATCCACGTGCCAAAACCATGACTTGGTTTAGACATCTTATGGATTTCAACTCTAGTCTACACCAACTTGTTTGGGATTGAAAGGCTTTGTTGTTGTTGTCGTCGTCTGCAACCACATTTATGCTAAGGGTGTGGCTAAGTCTCGGTCGACTGAGATTTAACGAAGCCTCAGTCAAGTGACATAATTTGCAAGAAAGAAAAAGGAAAAACTAAAAAGAAAATTTTGCACAGATCTCAATCGGATATAGCATCGACTGAGACATAACCAGTCTCAATAGACTGAGATTTAGCAAGATTGTAATGTTAATTTAACGACCATGTTCAACCTATCTAAGTTTTACATAGATTAAGGTAGAGATGATATGCAAACCTATACCTAGTCTATATGCCTAGGCACATAGAAAAGTTAACAGAAGGACTAGAAATATGCTAGTGGCACAATGTGCAAGCACTTGCTCATGTCTGCCATGGTGCATTGAATTTTCTCTCCTCTTTGTCTTTGTTATTATGCTGCATGGTGGATGTACTAAGAAATGACAACAAGTACTTAGTAATCATCAATTGGCTGCTACAGGTCGGTAGCCAATGGCGTCTGAACAGCCCACTTTTGTATGATGCATGATGCAAATGCCCAAGGCAGAGGAGAGCAAAACCATCCAGGACCACTGCCTGCCTGCCTGCCTTTGGCTCTGAATCTAGGAACACCAAAAGCAGCCAATGGAGAGCTTGGCAAGTTGCAGGGTCTGTTAGAACAAAGGAGAGAAATGCTTGGTTATGCATGCTGAAATAGATCCCTAGAGACGCATAGTTTATGGTTTCTAGTTAGGGAGCCTTGCTGGTCCAACAAATGTTGATTTGCTTTCTGCCATAGGAAGAGGTATATGAGGAAAAAGGAGCAAGATATGGTCCTATTTGTTTTGTTTGACTGAGAAAAACAAACCTGTTAAATAGTAGCCATTTCCCCTTATAAACAGGGATGTGTCCTTCGATTCCCGCCGGTTTCTATTCCTCTATTTTTTACCAAGAACATCAGTTCTATTTTCTCGATAGACAAATTAATCTCCAATGATTAGTGTAGCTAGGAGGACGTGGATGCAAACATGACATCCAATGAAGGACCATAATCTCTTTCAGAAATATGGGAATTTGGGCACAAACACTAACTTTTATCTTTTACAAATTTGGACGAAAACAAAAGACTTCTGAGAACAAAGATCTGCATATAATGCAACCATTTTTACTAGTGGAAAATGCATGAAACTTCAAAATTAGACAGACCACACCCGCCTTATAAAGCATAAACAAGTCCTGGAAACTAGCCAGACCACACCCGTATTCAGAATCATAAACAGGTCCTCCAGAGCCTAGCGCAGCAACTTGTTCCATGGCACGTCGGTGATCAGCGAAACCGCCGGGAGCTATCCTCGCTTCCCAGTCCAAGGGATCTCTGTGCATTGGCAATTCCTTCTTCATCTGCAAGAGATGCAGTCAAAGCAGAAATAAGCAATTGTGTTGTAATTGAGAAAACAACGAGGGGCACGTTACATAAGTGAACTATTATAGATAAAGTTATCTTGGTATCTGGGCATCTGGCACATATTTTAGATTAACAACACAATTTATCTTGATGATATCTGGGCATCGAGCACATATTTTAGATTAACAACACAATTTATCTGGCACATATTCTATATAGATAAAGTTATCTTGATGTAGTGGCTTGAAATCAATAACAGTGTTATTTTATAGGAGTAGTTAATTTATTCACTAGGAGGAAATGCTGAATTGCGTTCTACAGAACAACAAACGAATAGGATCAGAGTAAACCAGGTTAATACAATACTATCTTGCCATTGACTGAGCTCACCCCAGAACTGCGTGAAGATCTTGAAGAAAAAGTTCACGTTACGGGAGACACTGTATGCCATCACAGGAGGAAGAGGCTTGACAAGTGTGTCCACCGTGAAAACTCTCCGCAGGAACTGCAAAACAAAGGGCTTCTTGTCAGACAATTAACCAACGACGAACAAAATAAGTACAAGATTCCTTTATTTCAAAATCAATTATCCTCGATAGGAGCAATTTGTTGATTTGCTTATTCATCTAGACATCTACATAAACTTCGAAGTGAATGAAACATTAGGACCACACAAAGTGAATGAAGTATTAGGAATCACACACAATGAAAATATCTCTATCTTTTACCAAATAAGAAGTCAATATCTTCTGTCATAGTTCTTATGCACAATATCAGGATCGCCTGTTTGCAACCCCTCCTCTCCGGGTTAAGGTGCAACAAGGGGTATACCTCTTTGGGAGGATGGGTCGCAAACCAAACAATTCCGGGTCGACGGCCATGGTAGGACATTGTTTTTTTCACTGAGATTACTAGTACCATTTTTTTTTACTCACGCCAATTTTTAGAGGCTAAAAGTTTTGATATAGCAAACAATTATAGAAGATCAAATGTCTAAGTTGTGAAACAAATGGAAAAAGTTGGCATGTGACTTGCTGGGTTGGCCTAGCACAGCACACACATCTTTCTTATTTTCACGTACTCCAGCCCTAGCATCTTATTCTTACCCTCAACCACCAAGTCCTGAACACCATGTGTTAATTATATTCTAACCATCAGTCTCTCAGCTCCCACCAACACCCATCCTGCTGTCACTTCCGACCCCTCCATCCACCAGCGATAGATTGAAGCACCGCTGTGGTTGTCCGACAAAGAATCAAAGGCAACCACAGGTACGCTCAGCGCAGGAAAGGGGCGGGCAACATCCAAGCATGGTCATGGTGCCACCATGGTAATAGCAGGATGAGGAGCGCCAAGTGACACAACAACGACTGCATAGTGCGAGTTCTCATTTGGGATCGAGAGCAACTGTTTTGCGTGGTGTTAAGTCCGCCAACCCACGGTGATCCCTACTTACTCGACACTAACCCTTGACTGGGGTGATCGATCACAGGTCAAGGGATGTGGCGTCGACCCATGATCCCTGTTTCTATGGGTAGGAATCATGAACAAGTTAGCACAGATTCAAGAAAAACTGTGATAAAAGCCATGTAGGGTAGAGGATACTCGGACATGGCCTTCCATTTACACAACTGTGCTTGTCAGCGGCAAATTATTTACTATTTTTTCTTGATAATCTTGAGTAAAATAATATGGTCACCTGAATTAAGATGGAAACCATGATATGAGAGAAACCAAGAGCTGGCAATTGTGGAGCTGTTTATTTCATCTAATACAATTTACAAATTTGTGTTGCTATTGACCGGACCCTTTGTCTTAATTATTGTGGTTAGGGTTATGACGGTAAAAGGTGAAGTGCGATCTTGTGAATTTTGGCCAGCAATGTTCAGATGGTTTTGAAGTGCCTCTATCCAAAAAACTAAATCTATTGTTTCAGTTTTACTACCATTAGGTCCATTACCAGTTGATTGAACCCTCAACTTGCTAATTAATCCAGAAGAAAATCCTTCTGTTACGACTGCAGCCTCCGCGAGTTCACAATCTGTCGAACACCTAGAGCGAATCGCCTAACAGCAATAAACAAGGAAGAAGCATAGGGGAAGGGGGAGGGAAGAGATTGGTGCGTGGCGCGGGCGGGGCATACCCTGCTGTTGCGCTGGAAGGAGTAGCGCAGCTCGGGGTCGATCTCGTCCTCCTCGAAGTCGTCGACGGCGAGGTCGAGGTCCGGGCGCTTGCTGCGTGGCATGTTCATGGTGGGCGTCTCCCCGGGGTTGCTGGTGACGGTGACCTTCCCCTCGCGGCTCATCCTGGACGCCTCGTCGTCCTCCTCCGCCTCCCCCGTCCGCCATGGCGCCGACGACAGCAGCTCCTTCCTCTTCCTCACCATCGTCCTCTCCTTTCTTCTCGCGTGTTGTCGTTTGCTTTCGGTTTGGTTTTGCGAGGAGGAAGGAAGGAAGGGGATGACGATGACGAGAGGATGAGGTAGGAAAGCTTTCCGTTGGGCTCTGTGGGTCGGATTGGAGAGGAAGTGGACTTTCGTGGGCTGAATCACGTGCTTTAGGATGGACGCGCTGAAGGATCTCAAAAAAAAAAAGGATGGACGCGCTGGATGTCGTATGGGCCTGCCCATTTTACGGTTTTTCTATCGTTTTTTCCCTCTTTTCTTTTTTCGTTTTCTACATTTATTTTTATTTTTTTCGTTTTTATTTTTATTTTTATTTTTAAAAAAATTCACGTGTTTTTGCGAATTTTATTTCCAAATTCGCGTACATTTTTTTCTTCATCGCATTCAAAAAATGTTCATCAATGTAAAAAAATATTTATCGAATTCATTTTTTGTTCATCGTATTTAAAAAACTTTTATCAAAATTCAAGATATGTCCATCGTATTCACAATTTGTTCATCATTCTCAAAAATATATTCATAAATTTCTATAATTGTTCATAAAATTCAAATTTTGATCATGGAATTCAAAATTTGTTCATCAATTTTTCAAAAAAAAATTCACCTAACTCAAAAACATATTGATCTTATTCAAATTTTGTTCACCATAATTTTTAAAAATGTTCATCAATATCCAAATTCACTAGCATTTTTTGAAATGACGAACATTTTTAAAATTCGTGCATATTACTTGTATTCTGGGACATTTTTTGGCTCAACGAACTTTTCAAAATTCTCATTCTTTTTAAATTTGGAGCTATTCCGAAATCCTGAATTATTTAAATAATAAAAAATGAAAACAAAAAAATAGGGGGCGCCGCACCGCCACTCATGGGCCGGCTCAAATGGGCGCGCGAGGGGAGCAGGGTTGCGCGCTGTGTGACTCCCGCAGCGAGTGCGCCAAATAGGAGGACCCCTGTTGGATGTCGTAGGCCCTTTCGTGTCAAACTTGAATGGGCTGTCATTAATCAGCTTGCGGGCGTATACAAATCGAGTTGGATTTCATTGACTCAGAACGAAGCATCAAAAGAACACAGACACAACAACTCCACACCTGTGTCTAAAAAAACAAGTTAGCACCTGGCCTTTCCGAAGAAAATACAGTCCAGGATTCATTCCCACAGTTTTTTAATACAATAGATTTTTTTTACTTATCTCCTGAGAATACCATAGACACCATTTCTTCACGAAACATCATACGTGAATAAAATGGTCGACCAGGTTTGATACCCTAAAATTTCAGATTTTTATCATTTTTCCTGGTATTTTTTCATTACTATTCGTATAGGGTTCACGGGCACCCAAGAGCTCAAAGTCTGTGTCCCTGCTATAATCTAATACTTCATCCGTTTCTTTGCATATAAGTTTTGTCTTAAATCAAACTTCATAGAATTTCATCAAGATTGTGAGAAAAAAAGATCAACATTGACATCATCAAAACGATATCATTACATGCATCAAGGACTTAATTCATATCGTACACCTCAACTATTCTAGATGTTGATGCTTATATAGAAATTTGGTAAAATTTCACAAAGTTTGATTTAAGATAAATCTTATATGCGGAATAAAAAAAAACGAAGGGAGTATTTCTCTAACGTGCATTGAGAATGCGCGCAATACATGATAGTGAAATGTAGGTCGCAACGGCTCAACGTGTTAGGAGAGAAACATAAATATGTTGAATTGTAATGCAGCGACGTAGGGACATTGACAAGTAGATAGCCGGCGGACGGAGAGAACTGCAGGCGTAGAGCGGCTGCGTTGGCACAACTTTCTTGTCATGATGGTGTCTTTTGTAGTTGGCAGCCCTGCTTCCGGTTGGAATTAGTCTCTGGTTTCATACCAGCGGCAGCTAAGCTGAAAGCCGGCCTCGCGTCCCTTTCGGATAGCTACCGCTCAACTGATGACGATCCATGCCTGCTTCACACGCTTAATCTTTCTTCTTGAGAAGAGGTGGTATCTGATGGTGGCTTCTTCCGGGCAAAATCACAACGAACCAGTTGTTTCCGAGCAGAAGCAAACGTCACAAACCGGAACTTTTCCTCGTATTTTTTTCCTCAGTGCATGCTTTTTTTTTGAAGCATCGGTGCATGCTTTATTCTTGTTCTGGACGTAGGATCTGCTCCCCGTAAATTCCCGATATCTACTGGATTTTTTTCCTAGGGTGTTTTCTTTTCTTTTCATTTTGTCTGGATAACTGATTGTTACTTCAAGGAGAATGTGAAAATGTGAGGAAGGATTTTTAGATGTCACTGATTGTTAGGCCTATTTAAATATATCAAACTTTTTTTTACAGCCGTATCAAACATTTTATGTTCTTGAGATTTCAACACCCTATCTATGCAAAGGACTGAAAGATGTGCGAGTGTGACACACATTCAGAGAAAGAGTGGGGCGGATATTTTCAACACATGGTAGACACTAGACACCATAGAGTTTACATATCAAGTTTGCGATGGGTATGTAACTTATATAACTAATCTATTCAGATATAATCGAACCCTTTTTTACAGTCATATCAAACATTTATGTTCTTGAGATTTCAATGCTCCTATGTAAACAAAGGACTGAATGATGTGCGAGTGTGAACAACATACGGAGTGAGAAAGAGTGGGGCAGATATTTTGAACACATAGGAGACACATAGATGTAACTTGCTGTCACGCCTGCTGATGATACATCCGCAACGGACTGAAAGTGCAGTTCAGTTAACTGAACTAACTGAACTGCAACAGAGCTAGTGTGTGTGTGTGTTGGGCCAGAGGCAGTGTGTGGGTGTGAGAGGGCCCAGGTGGGCGGCTAGGCAGTGTGTGTTCTGAGACCGTGTGTGGGTGTGAGAGGGCCCAGGTGGGCGGCTACATATTGTACTGTGGATGAGATGCTGGGTATGAATGGAAAAAGATCTCAATTCTCCTTTCCCCTTCTCCAAGCTCTCCTCTCACCCTCTGCATCTCGATCCCCTTTCTCATCCCGATCTCCCCTGTCCCCTGGGTCATGACAAATCTGGTATTCAGAGCCAATTTTTTTGCTCACTACCTCGCCGCTGCCGCTGTCTCACACCCTCTCGATCGCCGGTAACATCCACCGGGTTAGGTGCGAGCCGCTCCGGCAAGTTCGCACAAAATCCTACTCGGGGTTCGGTTGATTTGGAGCGAGACCAGGGCGCCGCCCTCCAAACCCTCGGCCCAGACTCGTCGGGTGCTCGACGCCATGTCGGAGACGACCGACAAGCTGCAGAACCTGCTCGAGTCGGTCATCCGCCGTCTCGACGCGAACCAGAAAACTGCCGACGAGCGCCACCAAGCACAGCTCTCCTACAACAACCAAGTCTCCGACGAACTCAAGCACCTCGCCAAGCAGATCGACCTCACCCAGGCCGACGTGGATGAGGCCCGCAAGACCCCGCCAGCACCTGATCCAGTCACCACGCACGGCGCGGGCACCTCGTCTCCGTCAGCAACCGCGGACTCCTCCGCGCGTGCACCACCACCACCACCTCCACCACCCATCCGCCCCTCACCGACCCACCTCTACACGGACGGCGCGACGCAGCTCCCATTCGCACGGCTCGTCAACCACGGCCCCCCGCTGCTGATTGCCGGGGCCCCGTCGCCCACCGAGCGCGAGCGCCAGGGTGACTACTACACGAAGCCGCCCAAGCATGATTTCCCTCGGTTCGACGGCACCACACCGCGCATCTGGCTGGAGCGGTGCGTGTCCTACTTCGAGCTGTACCGTGTGCCGCCGCACAATTGGGTGACCACCGCCGCGCTGTACATGGAAGGCCTGGCGGCAATGTGGCTGCAAGCATACCGACAGAAGCATCCCGGGGTCAGTTGGGCGATTTTCAGAGCAGCAATCGAGGAGGAATTCGGGCCAGAAGAATTCGAAACACAGATGCATGAGTTGGTTCAGTTACGCCAGACAGGGAGTGTGCAGGATTATCGACAGCAATTCGAGACCCGCATGTATCATCTCTTGTCCCTGGACCCGACCCTGAGCACACAGTTCTTCATATCACAGTTTCTGCTGGGACTTAAAGATGAGCTGCGGCTTGGGGTGCGACTGCAGAGCCCCTCCAGCATCACACGAGCAGCCGTGTTTGCGCGCATCCAGGAAGAGGAATTCGAGAAACAGCGTCTGTCGCGCCATCGCATTGTGCCAGTGGGTCGTCCTCCTCCCCCAGCAGCACCAGTTCCCGCACCGGCACGAGCAGCGGCACCTCTGCGACAGGGTGGGGATGAGTACGCCAGGGAACGTCAACTGCGCGAATTCAGGCGTGCCAATGGCCTTTGTTTCCACTGTGGTGACAAATACTCCCGCGAGCATCAGTGCAAACTCACTGGACAGATTTTGATGATAGAAGTGGGTGATTTCGGCGAGATTTTGTCTGATGACACGGTGCATGCATTGCAGCTGCTGGACGCACCAGGGGCGCAAGAGCCTGAATGTTGCTCTCTGTCTGAACATGTTGTATTTGGCGAGGAAGGCCCTGCTACAATTCGCTTGCGCGCACAAGTGGGTGATCAGGTTATGCTGCTACTGATGGACTCGGGAAGCTCACACAGTTTCATCAGTGAAGCGTTCACCGCCTGGATCGCTGCCCGAACAGAGAAGTTACCCGTGGTTACAGTTCGAGTGGCCAATGGTCAGAGATTGCATTGTGACAAAATTGTTCACTAGTTGGCATGGCAGGTCCCAGGGCACACTTTCCATACCGATCTCCGGGTTCTGCCGCTGAGCGCGTATGGTGGAGTGTTTGGCATCGACTGGCTCTTAGCGCACAGCTCCATGCTCTGTCACTGGCAACTAAAGACGATCCAATTCGACGTCAATGGCAAAACTGTCCACCTGCAGGGAGTAAAATCTTCAGACCTGCCTCGCATAGCGGAATTGGATGACTATGAATTGCATCGCATGGAAGTGGTGAATGACATTTG